ATCGCGGCGGAGTGGCTGGTGCTCACGGTGCTGCGGGACGCCAGGCCGGCCTGCGCCTACGAGCCCATGGACTTCGCCATGGCGCTCATCTACGACATGGTGCTGCTGGCGGCCGCGCTGGGGCTGGCGCTCTTCACGCTGTGCGGCAAGTTCCAGAAGTGGAAGCAGAACGGCGCCTGCCTGCTGGTCACCGCCTTCCTGTCCGTGCTCATCTGGGTGGCCTGGATGACCATGTACCTCTTCGGCAACGCCGAGCTGCGGCGGGGGGACGCCTGGGGCGACCCCACCCTGGCCATCGCGCTCGTGGCCAGCGGCTGGGTCTTCGTCATCTTCCACGCCATCCCCGAGATCCACTGCGCCATCCTGCCCGCCCCGCAGGACAGCGCGCCCAACTACTTCGACACGCCGCAGCCGAGGATGCGGGAGACGGCCTTCGAGGAGGACCTGCAGCTGCCGCGCACCTACATGGAAAACAAAGCCTTCTCCATGGACGAGCACAACGCAGGTAGGCGGGCGGGCGCTTGTCCCCAGGGGACTCTCCTCCCAGCGGTGGGGAGAGGTGGTCCCGGGCAGCCCTGGCAGAGCAGGGCCCACAGATGTTGACCCTGTGTGGAAAGTGGCCCAGAGATGGGTTACTTATTTTTATTTTTTTAAACCTCACCGGAGGATATTTTTTCCATTGCTTTTCAGACAGAGTGGAAGGGAGGGAGGGAGGGAGGGAAACGTTGATGTGAGAGAGACACATGGATTGGTTGCCTTCCTCAGGGGCTCTGACCAGGGCCAGGGATTGAGCGTGCAACCTCCTGCGTGTCCCTGGCTGGAATCGAACCCAGGACCCTTTAATCCAAGGGCCGACCCTCTAACCACTGAGCCAAACCGACTAGGGCGAGATGGATTTCTATTTAGAATCTTTTCCTATAAATTGCCAAGTAATTTAATGTAAAAATTCAGGTTTCTGTCTTTGAAAAGTTGGATCTGGCAGTGCCCGGCCACCCTCCCAGCTAGTAGCAGTAGCGACTGTCTGGAGCTGGCTGGAAGGCCCTACCTCTTACCCCTTAGCTGGGGATCCACTTTCTGTGTAACCGCACCCCCCGCTCCCTGTTTTCCCTGACCCAGCCACTCTGCCGTGGTAACATGAGTTAAACTGTCTGGCTCCCCGGAAGGATTTGCAACTGCAGCCTTTGTGCAGGATCATGAGGGGCCATGCTTGTGTCCCCTCCCCGACCTCTGGCACCAAGAGTATATGAATTTGAGCTCTCAAGTCAGATGTCTGGGTTCACTGCCGCTGCCAAAAGTTGGATCTGGCAATGCCCAACTTCTAGATATGTGGCTTTCAGTAGTTTCTTTCATCTGTTAAAAAAAAAAGAAAAGAAAAAAAAAAAGAATGTACCTCATGGAGCTGTAGTGAGAAATTACATGCTGAGTGTAACATCCTGAGTGCATCCCACGGTACTTGGCATGTTGGATGTGCGTCTTGGTTGGGTTCTCCTAAAAGCAGAACCTGAGACCAGGTGCAGGTGCCGCCTTGGGAGGTCAGGATGGGGATTATCTCTGAGAGCCCAGAGGGCCCTTCAGGCGATAGGATGAACAGAAAGGCTAGTAGTCTGGCCAGTTCCCAGTGTCCTGGGGGAGCCACCTGTTCCTTGGCTCCTCCTGGAACAGGTTCTTCCTCATGGACTCCCCTGGGACCTCAGTGGTAATGACATTGCCTGAAATGGGTGTAAATTTTTTTCATTTATTGGGGATTGGTCTGTCACTCTGTCAGGTTCTCAAAGCTCTGTTACCCCCAGAAAGTTAGAAATTGAGGGTCCAGTTTCCTTGCAGTGAAATGGGGGTGCTAGAACTACCCAAGTATTAGGGTCTTCAAAAGTAAGGATGGCTAGCCTTTACTGCATGCCTCTCATGGACCAGGTACCATTCTGTGCATTTTAACAGCTAATCTCATATAATGCCTACAGTAACCCAATGAGGTCCGTTTTGCAGATAGGAAACTGAGGCAGAGCCTGGGTGTGAACCCAGGCAGGCTGGCTCCAGAGCCCACACACTTGAACACTCTGCCACAGAATTATTCTTCTCAAAGCACATCACGTCACTGATGTGTCAGGACAGCTCTGTGTATTGAGAAGACAGGGGTTATCAATCCCATATTACAGAGCAGGAAACTGAGGCATCTGGTTCAACTCAAGGCTGTAAGTGCACAGCAGAGCCGGGAGAGGGAAAGTTGGTTTTCTGGCTCGCATTACATGCATCCTTTCCTGTGAAAATGCAACCAATATGTCATATCCGCAGAAGATCCAGAGGTCAAGGGGAACTGGGACCCAGGTCCGTACCAGCAGTGTTCAGGGGGTAATGGGGTTCCAGAGGTGACTCCACCCACATCTGTTTCACACCCTGACATGTATCAAAGCCAAGTAACTTGTCTTTTAGTCCCCTCCCTTTTCCAAAACAGAAATAGCTTTATTATTCCTTTCTGATGACAAAAGATCAAGAATAATCCTGTGGGAGATTCAGTAAATAGAAATAATAAAAATTGCTCAAAATACCCTTGCCCAAAGGCAGCTACTGCAGGTTGCTCCCATCTTGCCAGACGTCTCTAGATGAGTGCATACACACAGTCTCTCTCCCTCCCTCTCCCCTCTCCCTCTCTCACAACCACACCACACACACACACACACACACACACACGACAATCCCATAGCGCCCTTCTTAACTTAGCTGCACATCAGAATCACTTGAGCAGCTTAAAAAATTGCCAGTGCCTGCCCCTTATTCTGCGTAATGTCTGGTTTTGGGTAGTAAGCTCTCCGAGTGACTCTAAGGCGTGAGCAGGTTGAAACACTGGGTGCTGAGCAGTGTGCTTGCTTCGGTGAGTGTCCTGGCCGGGCCGGGGCCTTTGCAGGTCAGTGGCCGCAGAGCCACATGTTCTCGAGGTGCAGAGCTTTCCATTAGGCACCATAATTCAGTTTTCTGACCTTCGGCGGGCAAACATTCCACTTGTTTCTAGCTTTCTATAGAAAGTTATGTTGCAGTGAACATTTCTGCATTTTTTCCACATTTTTAAAAGTTTTCATTTGCAGTTGACATAGTTTCAGGTGTATAACCCAGTGATTAGACATTTATGTAACTAATGAAGTGATCCCCCGATAAGTCCAGACCCACCTGGCACATACATAGTTATCACAATATTATTGACTACATTCCCTGTGCTGCACTTTACATCCCCGTGACTGTTACGTAACTGCCAATTTGTACTTTTTAATCCCATCCCCTTTTTCATCCAGCCCCCCAACCCCCTCCCATCTGGCAGCCCTCAGTTTGTTGCAGTCAACATTGTTATCCATTCACCTGTGTACCCTTGATCAACTAACTCTCTGCAAATAAATAAATAAATTCCTAGGCTGCATGCATCTAAAAGTGCACCGAAGAATCTGCACCTTTAAAGCTTGCTATATTCTGCCAACAGCCCCCCAGAATGGTGGGCTTTAATCATCGTATGAGAGCCCCGCATCTTCACCAGCCTTGGCTGTTGTCAGACTCTCTTTTAATAGCTCCGTTTTGCAGCATCCCAAATGTGATCCCACCAAAATTTACATAGGACCAGGCAGGGCGGGCTCCAGGCAAAGCCATTTCCCTCAGGACGCTCTCAGAGGCTAAGGTGGCATCCTGAATGGGGACTGCCTTGTTCCAGAATCCCCAGCTTCACCAGCTGGGAACGCCTGGGCACACTCCCTTGCCACAGCGAGAAGAGCTGTTGTCATCTGGTGCCGACCTCAGCCAGCTTATATTTTAGGGAACCAGACCCCACAAAGGGCCCTGACCAGGAGCTACGGTGGCCCTGTTTTTCTTGCATTTTAACCAGCCAGCCTTTTAGGCTTCTCCCTTGAAAGTGAGCCTGGGCTCCTTCAGAGGTGGGAAGGGCACCTCCAGGTGGCCGGTGGCTCAGCCATACCCCAGCAGCCTCTGCTTCTTTATTTCCTTCCCCAGAGTGAGGGCCCTGATATACACTTCACCAGCCTGCTGCTTATTAATAAGCATCAATAAGGCATGAGGTATGTGAGTAAAAAGATTAAAATACACTGAAGGATGTAGCACCTCATATCACATCTCAGAAAGTGTTAACAAGGCGCCCTAAATGCTCACCTTTACAAGCAGCAGGAAAGAAAAAGAGTTCTTTCTTCTGTTAGGGGATTTGGACTCTCAGATCTCTTTAAGGCCAAGAGCTATTTAAACTCTGACCCATAACTTCCCAGTGGCAGGCCCTGAGTTGGCTCTGGGGCCAGGGCCAAATCTAGCCTCACTCCCACAGGGGAAGGCTGGCATTCAACTTATGATCTTTGATTCCTGTGGGGACCCTCTTATGGGTGAGCCTGCTTGGCCTTTCAAAGTTGACCCAGGTCAGAGTGGGTGTTAACTGGGATTCTTGAGGTTGGAAGTAATGAAAATCTGATTTGAATCAGCTTAAGCAAAGCAAAACAGCAGCAGCAGCAACAACAAAACTAATGGACTGGGGATGAAGCTTCAGGAATGGTTCGATCTGGGCAGCTCAAGTTGACAAGATTTGGTCTCTCTCCATCTCTTAACTCTTTGAGCATCTTGGCAGCCCACAGCTCTAGGCTTGCACAGAGTCCCAGTAGAGAAGAGGAACATTTCCCAGGAGGCTTGAGCAGAAATCCCAGAATTAGCTCTGATTGGACCTGATGGCCCTTCCCTGAACCCATCAGCCCTGGCTGGGGAGATGTGATGCCCTGATTGGCCAGGCCTCAATCACATGCCCATGCGAGGGGGGAGAAGGCAGCTGCCAACGCTCGGGGACCTAGCATGTGGGGGGGACGGTTACCAGAGGAGAGCACAAATAGCCCTACAGAGAGGGACCCTTGGGTAAAGCACCCCAGCCCCCGCAGTGCAGCGAAGGAGAATGCGCTGGAGCCAGATCCCCGCCTGGCTGGCTGTGTGCGCTGCAGGGGAAGCTGTGCTGTTTGGTCTTACCTCCCTCCAAGCAGGCCAGGCTCGGAACTGGGACTGGTAGGAGTCTGCGGCGGTGCCCTCTGCCCGCTGCTGTGCGCTGGCTTCCCCTTCTCCCCCTCCCAGGAAGGGCATCTCCTCGCTCAGCACACGCCTAAGAGGCTGCTGAAGGCTTGGAGATGCTAAAGTAAAAGAGGTTTTCATAAGAACGTCTTGGAACATGGGTTCCCTACCCTGCCTCAGTTTCTTTGATCCAATCTGGGCTGAGCTGCCCCTAATGTCACTTGAATTCAAGTTGCTTCTAATTAACTAAGTGTGGTGGTTAAAAACACAGTATCTGGCCCAGCCGGGCGTGGCTCAGCGGTTGAGCATCAACCTAGGATCCTGGAGATCAGGGTTCGATTCCCGGTCAGGGCACATGCCCGGGCTGCAGGCTCGATCCCCAATGACTCTCTCATCATTGGTGGTTCTCTGTCTCTCCCTCCCTCTCCTTTCCTCTCTCTGAAATCAATAAAGATATATATTTTTTTAAAAGTACAGTATTTGGAGCCACTATAGTGTGATAGTTATGAACACACATTCTCTACTTGAGTTCGAATGCTGGTTCTATCACTTACCAGCTGTGTGACCTTGGGCAAGTTACTTAATCTCCCTGTGTCCCATGCAAAGTGGAAATAATAAAAGTACCTATTGTGCTATGAAAATTAAATGAGTTAATATATATAAAGTATTTTTCTCAGTGCTGGTTCCTGGTTGGCATTCTGTTAAGGTTAACTATATACCAAGGTGATTTTGGTACCTGCCCCAAGGAATCTGTAAAGATCTCAAGCTCTCTTGCTACTTTTTAGTCAGAAAGATGACTCCCTTCAGGGAGAAGACAGGAGAGGCCTCTCTTAGCAAAGCAATCTTAGTGCTTTCAATGAAAATGAAGATGCCATCACACCACTGAGATGGACTTTTGTTTTGATTTTTAAATACTACTACTCTCTCCACCACTTTTTAATAGACAGTTTTTTTAGAGCAGTTTTAGGTTTACAGAAAAATTAAGCAGGAAATACAGAAAGTTCCCACAAGCCCCTCCCCTGGTTTCCCTGTTATGAACATCTTGCATTTGTTACATTAGTGTTGCAATATTGATACATTATTATTAACCAATGTCCATTATTTACTTTTTAGACATCACTCTTTGCACAGTTCTATGGGTTTGGGCAAATGTATAATGTCTTCTGTCCACCATTATAGTAATCGTGTAGAATAGTTTCACTGCCTAAAAATGCCCTGCGCTCCACCAAGTTCATCACCAGCTTCCAACCCCTAGCAAACACAAATTCTTTTACTGTCTCTCTAGTTTTGCCTTTTCCAGAATATTATAGTTGGAATCATACAGTATGTAGCTTTTACAGACTGGCTTCTTTCACTTAGCAATATGCATTTAAGTTTCTTCCATGTCTTTTAGTGTAATTAGGTTTTTCTTTATTAAAAAGGGTGGGGGGGGTCTCTAAAAGTGCACAGCAAATAAGAAACACGGTTTGTTTACCCACCTTTCAGAGGTAAAACATGCCTGCATATTTTCCTCTCTCTGCTTCAGATTTCCATTTCTTTCCTATTTAGAAATAACCCTCCCTTTCTGGTTGGAGTCTGTGCTCTTCCAGTCACTTTCCCATGAAGACGACCTCTGTCATGTACCTTGATTTGACGTCCATGCTCTTTCCTACCTGTGTGTGTAAAGCAACAGTGAGCAGTGTTGACAGTGCAGTGTTGGACTTGACATGAATGGCATTCTGCAGCGAGGAGGTCTTTTGTCAGAGGAGACCTTCCGGGGAACGCAGGGGTGCTTCCTTGTCACCTGTGGACTGCAGGGGCTGGGGAGGGAGGGGTGGAGGCCCAGCCTTGTCCCCCTCCAGCAGCCTGGATTCTGCAGACTTCCCAACCCCACTGAGATGGGTTAGGCTCCAAGAGAGCCAGAGAACAAAGCCCCTTTGTGACTTTTGTTTGGAATCAGGCTTGTGACAAAGGGAAGGAGGGAGGGGGAATGTGTGCCCAGAGCGTGGTGTTGATGCAGGAGAAGAAAACAAAGTTGTCTCTCTCTCTCTCTCTTTTTTTTTTTTTGGTGTTTCTGTGTTGCTCTTCCCTCCCGCCCTCAGCTCTCCGGACAGCAGGGTTCCGCAATGGCAGTTTGGGAAACAGGCCCAGCGCTCCTTTCAGAAGCAACGTGTATCAGCCAACTGAGATGGCCGTTGTGCTGAACGGCGGGACCGTAAGTATCAAGAGGTGATGTTTGGGCCAGAAACCTAAGAGCAGTCAGTG